ATCGCAATGCCATAAGCAGGATTGGAAAGCCAAAGAGTTACCAAATGCTTTCGAATTGGTCCAGTTCCCAAACAACTCCCTGAAGGTAGACGACGAACCAGTAACCTGGGCTGGTATAAGAGAGGAAGTTCGGAGTTTTGAGCCCATATCTGAATGAAGAACTGCCCTAGTTCCAAATTACGAAGCATCGGAAAATGCGTAAAGAGCGTACCATGAGACTTGTGCTGAGACTGCTATTGGCATCCCTTTGAAAGACGCTTCAAATTCCAGCCAGCTGGATATTTCACATTTTCCTTGTATAGATAATTTCCAACGAAACGCCAGAGCGGAATTGTCGGCCTTTTTACTGGATACTTGCGATATAGCCTTACGCCATCTTTTCTTGATATCTGACGGCATAACTAAATGCATGGAGGCGATACAGCCTAGCCAATTCAACCTGCCTAGCAACGATGGACACCTACTTCTTATGAGGTGAAAAGCAGGGTTACGAGTTTTATCTCTCCTTCCCATGGTTACATCCAACGTGAATTCTTTTAAATCAATTATATGCCGAATCACGTGATACTTTGGGATGGACCCCAAACACATTTCTCTTCGGCCATGATGATTCCTGTCATTTTTAGGTCCTGTCCTAGCCTTCTGACATCATCCAGGCATAATTGAGCTGATCTGGCCCAAATGAGGCCGTCGTCTAAATGTAAGGCAAACGACATACCTTCCTCTCTCCACTTTCTGAGGAGGGGTTTAAACATTTTGGTAAAATTATAGGGGGGCACGATCCAAGCCACAAACTAAATTCAAAAAATGATAATACTTTCGTCTCCATTGGAAAGCCAGGTATTTTGTAGAACTTGGATGAATGTTCATATGATGATAAGCAGATTAGAAGTCAAACGAGGCCATGTATCCGTCCCCGGGAAGAAGAGGTGAAACTTTTGTCACATCCTCGTATTTCACTTTACGCTTCCGGAGATACTTATTCAGTACAGTTAAATCCAATATAAGCCGCAGCTTCTTACCTTCGGCTACCGAGAGAGGGTTGATTCATAATGTTTTTTCATTATGGACTTGTACCATAGCTTTGCTATGCAGAAGCTTATTGACCTCGACATCTACAAATTCGCTTTTCGATCGTTGCCTTGCAATGTGGGGCGAGGTGTACAAAATCGCCGCACTCGTAGTAGTTGGGTCTCTGAGCACGACTTCCGTGGCTGAAGTTCCTGTTAGATTCCACTTAATTTCGACATTTCTAAGCATTTCGGTTAAAATAGGCGAGAAAGTGTTAGTGGGAGGAATGAGGGCCCATGTCGCTCCTCTCCTCCGAAAAGACTGGCTTGTTTTACCTCCTTACGGCAGAGTTCGTGCCCAAACCGGCTTCTTGGCTGGCCGCAGAGCTTTCTTTTCCGATTTTCGTTTCTTTAAAAATCTACTGTGATCGAGCTTGTAAACTCTTGAGCCTGGTTACAGCGCTCATAGTATTCCCATAAGGACTCGACATTGTCTGCCACCACTGAGAATTCATTCCTTTGCGTTAGCGCTGCAGTGGCTTGTTCGAGGTTGTCCCTGATCCCATTGTCGTGTGGCGCAAACTCCATAACAGGTGTAAGGAGCTTCAGCATGTTTAGTTGAATTCAGGTTTTTTGCCGTAGCTCTTCTTTTTGAACGTAGGAGTGATCGACGGGCCGGGCTTAGCACTGCCAAGGGCCGACACCAGCACCACGCTCCTAATGGCTCTGACTATAGCTTCCTCCAACGGCTGCGCCCTGTTGCTGCTGTGCTGGGGCTGGAATAGCCGTTGATGTGGTGGTGAAAAAGCCGGTTGCGTTGGCGATGAGCTCGCCAGTAGAGGGGCAATTAGTTGTCCTGATTGAGGAGACGCCCTAGCTAGGAGCTCTTCGAAGTGGGCCCTAGAAAGGGCGACCTGTGCGCTAAGCTGTGCTTGGTTGTTTCCTTCCAATGCCTTCTTAATAGAGACTCAACAGGATAGGCTATACGTATACGAATAGAAGATATAAACTGACTTGGGTTATAACGAATTAGGATAACCAGTGATGAAGCCAAAAAGAAACACGACACGTTTCATCCGAGCCTGCCCCAGTGAATACCTAAAAGAGGGAAGCTTACTGTACGGACTACTGAGGCCCACTGCAAAGAGGCCACCTCGTGGCAAATGCTTCTCAAAAGATACGCCACGTGATAGACGGTTGAATGAATTAGATACTGTATCTGATGAAACACAATGACACTGCCTCCGCACCTTGCGGGAAAGGCACTGTGGGGCCAAAGGATCTGTCCTTTCACTGGAAACAACTCACTTAAGAGTTACTTCTGGATAGTAAATGCTAGCAATGAAGCGTCTTGATACACTTGATGCACAATAACAACGTCGTGAGCGAATATGAAATAGCTAAAAAGCCAGTAACGTAGCGAAGATCCCAGGCCTGCAACGAACGGGTTGCGAACTAGGCTGGTATTGCAAAATAGACTCTGTCGTATAGTCTCAAGACTACTCAGCCAACTGGAGAACTGTAGCCTAATAACTTCTGCCGGGCTGATGCCCCTTGATAAGTGAACCGCTCTCCGAAGGAAACTTTAAGACGTAAAGAGCTGATGGAATAAATCTGCAGATGAATAGTATCAAGGCCTTGAACAAACAGTACAACTGCGATACTAATATGAATGAGAAACGCAATAAGAGTAGAATACCTTGATTCAGCGCAATTCGCGCGAAAGAGTACAAAGAAATTGTGAACACGAACCGTCGTAACATAAACGAGAACCGGAATGAGGCGGGCTAACCCCGTTTTGTACGGGACCCGCCCAATGGCGGCACCTGCGGGAAGACAAAGCTCCATTTTACTGGAAAACAGAACTTGACAAAACCTGTGGATAGTGATCTGACAGAGCTAGTACACGGTTTTGCAATGTCTATAATAACATGTTCAATTGACATAGATCAGTAATGCTCTACAAGGAGTGACCTCGTTACATATACCCACATACTACGGGCAAAATTATATGGTTGAAGGAGCTAGCAAAAGAACTAACCCCTTTCTTTTTCGTACACCTTCACATGACATAGATAACGCATATACATGTTTCAGTGAAGCTATTACCAAGAAGACTAGTTGATTCCTTACAGTTTCCTTGCCCCTTGCCGCCTTGTCAGAGATTGAGAGCTGGAATCACTTGAAATTCTCGTTAGTTCCATTTCTGAAGTTTTCGCACCACGTCTAATAGTTTCGAGGCCGGTGTTGAATCTCACAAGCAGTACAATGTTTTTTGGTTGCAAGATAATATTCGGTATTCGGTGTATTCCAGCACTAAAATGAATCACGGGAGTCAGCATTCATGCCAATTGTGAGGTCGGATGGGGCCCACTAACCGTTATTCATTTCAGGGGGGGGGGATGATCTGCATTGAATGTTGCTGACCACTAAAGGCGGGTGGTTACTGATTTACGGCATTAAATCAGCTAGCGGCTTTGAAATTTGAAGAATTGTTTGAGGAAATGAACTTTGAAAATAACTTGAGAATTTGTTGAGAAAGGCGACAGTGCCGATTGTCAAACTATTTAGATTGCCTTGCATTGAAATTATTTGAGTGTACATATCTTATCTCATAACACTATTTTGGAGGGCAGAATCAAATCTTAAACACGAAAGAGCCGCACTTAAACGTCAAAGCAAAGCATTCCTTATTGATTGATGAATGGCTAGACATTGAAAAGCACTGTCACAGACTGTGGATGAATTTAAAAAAGATGATTGCACGCTGGCCTTATCTTAGTGTAATTGTGATCTTCTGCCCCAGAGTCCGGTATCTTCTCCCTGAACACTGCTTCACGCTCGCCGCACCAGCCGCGTATCGTAGAAATGCGATGGAAGGTTAAAGCGTGCAATTTGTGTGTTAGAGAGTCCTTTAATTATTTGAGTTTGCTGGCCGTTCCCTTCATTTCCAATGCGATCTTGATCGTCTATAATTTAGGAGGAGTTCTTCCAAACAATTACGTCCAATAAACATAAAAACGAAAAAGGTAGAAAAAAACAACCAAAACTTATCAAGAAAGAAAGGTAGCCAATGAAAAATATTGCGTCCTATCAATTGGTGGGGAGGCGGGCTGAGTACGGTAATTGCAGTTTGACAACTAAAAAAGATTTGTCGCATGAGGCCAAGCGAACGTGGGAAATGGTGAGAAGTTCCGTCACCCTTTGCCCCCTCACTCAGCTTTTTGCATCACGATTATACGCATAGGGAAGCGACACAGAAACCGAATAATGAATCATTTTCCGAAAAAAAAATGCATTGAACCGAGTCGTTAACATATTTTGCGATCTATCGAGCGGATAAAATCGCACGCGTGCCTCTGGTTATTGCATATTTGTGTGTCAGGCTCTGAAACTGCGGTGGTTTTCTGGCTGGATAATTGTTAACGCATTGCTCCTCTAATCTGGTACACGTCTCCTCATTCTGCCAAAGACTATAGAAACTCTATCTAGGATTTTGATTGGAATTTAATGCATGATAATAGACAAAAATACGTCAATTTGAATTTTGGTCATATATCGAGTACAAATGAAAAGAATAGTTTCTTGTAGGCTCCGTCATTGTGGTCATTCTCAGTCGTCATACAAAAAAACGAAATCAATGCTCCTTCGTTAGTCACATCTGTGGATCGTGTCTTCAATGTGACATGCAACTTCGTTGACCATCTTGGACGAAATGCAAAGTGCCAAAATTTCTCATCGTTATGACGATTCGTTTTTTCATTTGATTCCAGAATGCTGTTGAGGCAGCAGAAATCTAGATAAGCATTTATTCGACCATTTGACTCATTGTCGATTCGAGAACAAGTAATACTTCAGTGTTTCCTCGTCTACAAACAGTGGAACAAACGAAGTGACGTCCTCAAAGATCGAGATGCAAATACTTCGTGAAGGACGACCTGTGACTACCGTACCTTTGGGTGATGAAGTGGAACTGAGATGGAGAAGTGGGTGACAGCAATGAATATTGAGTTGTAAGATCGTAATTGCATACAAATTTTGTCAAAGACGGACCTTCTCACGCCTTCTCTTCCCATAGGCGAACTTATCGCTGTTCAGGTGTTTAACTATCAAAGACCGTAAGAGAGTTTGGGAATTCCTGAACAGTAGCTTTAAGTACATAGCGAAGGGGAACATACGAGTTTTTATGTTTTTTCATCATCGAGCAACAGAAGTGCTTCGAGAGAATCCACAATACAAGGGAATACCGATATGCTTCGAGAGAATCCACAATACAAGGGAATACCGATGCCAAATAATATTCAACCTTGGCGTTGTCAGGGCATCGATATGGAAGATAGTTGTTTCCCCATGGTCACCCCAGTTGAAATTTAGAAGTGTGCTTACGATTTTTCAAGTTGCTTTGCTGAACAAGTGGATTTCTCCCGCTTAAGAAATATTTCCCCTCGTTAGGAGCTTTTTTAAAGAAATTTGACTATCTAGGAAATGTTGTGGTGTCCCTCTGATATCCCGAAAGATACATTCGCTATTTGCCATAGAGCAGCAGTGATCACAGGATCGCTACTCGTAAGGTGTCCATACTCAACTGATCTTTGAATAATGGACACAAGCAGGGGAATTCAGAATACTTCTCCGTTGACGGGACTCATCATTCCAGGCTTTTTTATTTGCGTGTGTCACGAAGCACGAAGCGTTGACGATTCTATAACGCGTTTGAATGATTTTGACTGTATGTCATCCTGCCTACACTTCAAAAGCCTAGGCATACGACGAGACAGGATCCCACCTCATTGCAAGCCACGCTCATACTTAGTGTTTGACCACATTCCTTTGATAGCCTCCAGCCACTTTTCCCACGTTCTAAAGCGTTTTGATTAGAGTTGTGATTTCTCTGAAGAAAACCTTCCATTCGAATGCACGCCCCGTCTTCCTTAGCTCCGTTAAGTTTACACGTTGCGTCACGCCCTACAATAAACGATACCTATGCTTGGGTCTCCTTCGTTTTATTTCATGATTCATTCCCAACCCTTGCTCAATTTCTGTCAGCGTCTGTATTGTTCCGATAAGGATGTTTCGTGCACAATCCCCATTTAGTATTGGAGCCTACACCTGGTCTTGGCTATTTCATCGATACTTGCATTGCTGAACGAGTTGGAGGCACTCCTCCTCATCCTGAACCTCTCGGTATCATCCAACGAGGGTAAGTTTGCAAACATTGATTCTCATCTGTTGATCTTGTCGCGCTCATTTCCATCAGCACTTTCATCCTAAGGTGTCCTGATGAGAGAATCAACAACCGCCTCATCAAATCACCAATACGGCGTGAGCCTGATGGATTCTCCACAAAAATGAAGGTAATGTTTTTTTTTTCAATTCTCCTCAGATACATAAGTGACATCGTCTAATACAGATGTTGTAGCACGGCGCGGCTGACCCTAAGAGTTTTGAAAATTTCCCCATCAGAGGGGCTGCAATGAAAACTTGAACTGTTAAGAAACAAGGCGGCTTTACTACCATGAAATGAGCTGCTCTTCCAATCTTAAAGAATTTCTTTTGTAGTCCTGCAATTTCGCTTGATTAATTTAGTAATAGTTTGCCTTGAAATATGTATGTTAGCTTCCCATTATTAGTGGGACTCTCAATACCTGGGAAGGAATAATGTGCATTTTTCTTCTCTACTACTACCGAGTTGAACGCTATGGGTCCATTGGAGCAGAAGTTATTAATTTCCGGTCGCAACACGCACACGCACCACCACACACATATATATGTATATACATACATACACATACACACATATATATATACATGCACACAAACACACATACACACATACACACACACAACACAACGCAACACACGCACACGCGCATATATACACATACAAACACATCGACGAACCAACAGTCACACTTAGTGAATTATATAAAGGTGGATGATAGATTTTGACAAGATCAGCATCTCTTCAGTAATGGCGCCGTAGACGCTGTGGTGAAAGATAGATGCACCACGCGATGACTTGTGGGCATGAAGTATACTATACTTACGAGCTCCTAGTTAACTAGATCTATCAAGCGATAAGGTTATAAGATTCTCCATCCATTTCTCTGCAAAGAATAAGCAGTATCGAGATAGGCTCTTCAACACAATAATCGTGTGAGAGCCTAGAAATCTGTCTTAAGAGGCAGTTCCATAAATAAAAACCAGAAGAAGCTGGAATTAGAGGAAATTACTCTAATATGGCTATCACTAGGTTTTCCGTTTCGATGGATCACGTCGTGTCCGCATTCGTTGCACCATAGATGTCTGCATCGATAGCTGTTCTCAGGTATGCTTCATACAGTTTTCTTCTATTTATTTAAAAATATTGATCATTTACAAGCACCGCATTAAAGGCACCATCACAGAATCGATCAAAGGGAGCGACTGGGAATAGTGCTTTTTCTGTAAGGAATTTCTGAGGGAATGCTGACGGTCAATAAGGTTAATTGGCTGTTACAAATCAGAAGAAGAAACCGAGATTCTGAGAGGCACAAGCATATCTATAAATACAATAACCTGCGAACAAAACAACGTTGGACGTTACATATCGTGTACAAAAGGAGACTATCTAGCTGAAGCTCAAAACAAAAGATTGCATGATTGGCTGCTCTCATAGTCCGCTGTCCGACCCGCGAGCGCACGAGCGATCGGGGACGGCGCTTGCCCCTTGTTTACAACTGGATCTTGGTCGATACCGCCGGACGAGTAGTCCCCCGGCTTGCGTGCGTGCTCCATTGTGGACTATGAAAGCAGCCATTGTAGCACATGTTCAGCACTCATTAGAGAAAACGCCGTAAAACGACTATAAATTAATTCAAACAGTTTTGTAAGTCCGAATGTGTTTCATATAGCCAGCTAGTGATGGACTTGTTCGATTCCAGCAACGACAACCTTGCTGATTTCTCGATTGCCGCAGCTAAAGACGATACCGTCAATCAAGGTGTCGGCATGAAGTCCAGTTAGAACGGGAGAATTCAGGTCGAACGAGACGTAATCCAGTTGTTTGCCGACCTAGAAATGTATCAAAAATTACCGTCTCTCGGCTGATTTCAACGGTGGTCGTAAGCAGTAGCCGGCCAAGACTTTCACCATAATATTGATGCCAGCAGTTATGAAGTGGATGAATTCTATCTGTGTTTAACATCCCGAAACATTGCTTCCCCGACGTGTTGGGAGCGACAGCGGAAAACCTTTAATTCTACTGGCATTTTTTGTGAACTGAGTCCTAGTTTCTATGGTTCAATAAGTCCCATGATGCCTAGCTTAGCTGTAGAGCTTCTGTCTTTGCATCCTTGTGTCATGGGACTTTGTTCCTGTGTCGAAAGTCTCATATTCTTTCTTTTCCCCGGTGTTCTGAATCTGCCCTGGTTCAGGTGGAGCCCACTCATCTGTCCAGTGACTTCCTGTCAATATATATCACTGCCATCGGGCAGATTGGTCAAACTTCATGGACTGGTACTTATTTTGTATCGTCCTACCTCGATACTACCAGTAATTTTATCAATAGAAAGCGAACGAGCGCCTCCCATAGTGGCGTTGTGAAGCAGACGAAGTGCAGATAGACCACCCACGCTGCGGGAGTTGTGACGCATCTGAAACATTTCTCGCTCATAGAGAACTAGAAAATTATTAGAGATTGTGAGGGATGTCGAACCTGTTGAGAGTAACAAGCCCATCGCATTTCCTCCAGAAAACTGATACGATTGTTGCAGTCAGTACCAAAGCTGATATGCTGGTTATCCACAATATGTGGGATACCGTCTCCCAAATAGCCTTAAAAACAGAACCAACACTGTCTCTCTTAAAGGTAGCCTTACTCAGAGAGAATGGACCGACGGAATAATTCAGAAAAGGAGTCACCTTCGGTGCATGGGCAAATGACCACATTTGCGCCATGCTGCGTAAACTTCTTCATATTTGCTAGTGGAGTATAGGTTGCATGCACAGCCGAGAAAAGAGGGCCTATATCGAGAGCTTCGAGTAGCACATCGGACGGACCCTAAAGTAATAATGACCGTGATGAGGCAAAGATCACATCGTGGCTCACATTCTGCGGAACTAGACCTGGCAAAATGACATTTACGTACAACTGGTTATCTTTTTTCATGAACAATTTCCTTGACAAGATCTTGCTTCGCAGTACTCAAAAATTCTTGGAAGGGTCGACGGATGTGACCAAATGCGTGGCCCACAAAAACGTGCTACTAGCTGTATGGGGACTATTCAGAGAAATCGGTTTTAGAGGGTATCGAAGTCGTCTGGGGTTGCGGTTTCGGGTGCAGGCACCTGGCATAAAGCACTAGACATACTTGGCCAGCCTAGTGACACTGTACCACCTCATACTAGCCTACACCTACCAATTGCAAACTAGGTGCTAACTGCATTCCTGTCTGCACACTCGTTTTACAGTATCCCGTCGAAATATATCTTCTTTTATTCTCCTTCTTACCCTCACGTGCAGTGGATCAGAACATAGGGAAGCGCACATCCTGGGCGACTTCTCGTGGTCAGTGACTCAAGTTATTAACTTGAACACTCCCTTCTATTATAAAGTTCATGATCAGTTAAAGAATTTGGCGCCCACCCCTCAAAGTCACGGGAGGTGTTTTTTCAAGAATCTTTAATACTGATTTGATGGTTTGCTTCTTGGCTGGATTCGAAAATGAAATAAGCCGGCTGGTTTGCCTTTGGGAAAACCAAGAGGAAAATACAATATCCCGTGTTGAGAGAAAAATAACTGCAAAATGAGGCCGTCGACGGCCTAATGGCTCGTCTTCTCGATAAAGTCTCAGTAGTAGTTGAAATACGTTAGAATGAACAATCCAGGAACATGCTCCGATGCACGCTAAGGAGAGAGTTACAGATAGTGTCACATCGTCTAAGCGAAATCACCAAAGTGACAGAAATTTATAGTAGTGTATAGTTTACAGCAATGAATATTTCTTTTACCTTCTTTTCTCCAATGAATCGCATACAATCATCGATCTCTTTCGGTTGTTCTTCCATGTGAATGTGGAAGGCGAGATTCCTTTCTAATGCATAGTTATATAGCTTCTTGATGTTATCGAAACCTACGGCACGTGCAGAATGTGCTGAAACAATGCAATGATATTAGGTTGAGTAAAAAGTTTTGATCGACCTTCGTCCCTTTTTTCGTAGGACCGCTCGAAAGGGCTTCGTAATGGGTTATGATAGACCGATCCCTAACCTGTATTTTTAAAAGGATATATAAGCATCCCCTTGAAAGTGCTTCGCAAAAATGACTTCAACTTTCAACTGGCGTCCGAAGCTGTCTGAGAGCTATCGTCCATCACGAATTACTGTAAGGGCATAATCCACCGACGGCTGTCGCAAATATCTATGGTGCATCCAGAAGGGTCATCGTATCTCAGCCCACGGGTGCCTCATGACGAAGCACCTCCTAGACTAACAGAGAAGTAGACTATGTCCGATGAATGTTTTACTGTGTCGTCGGTGGACATTCTCAGGGAATGCTTTGCACTGGATAACTTACTGAGGGCTCCACCGTGACCGCCGAGATTTACGCTTCTCAGCTACAGAGTTTGGTCGACGTTGTTCGAAGGAAGCGTCCGCAGCGCGAAAAAGTTTGCCTTTTTCACGACAGCGCTCATCCGCATGTTGCGAAATTATTTTGTCACCTCCGCGATAGAAATTTTGATGACTGTTCGGAGCTCAAAAATGAGATCTCCAGCTTTTTTGAATCGCGGCCGCCACCCTTCTAGGCTTCAGGAGTCAAGAAACTGCCGGTTCGTTAGACGTATGTTTAGCACAACGATGGAGACTATATTACTAATTGAGATCCTCTTTCAATGGAAATAAAACTTTTTAAAGTGAAGATTGAAAAGCCGATCAAAACTTTTTACTCAACCTAATATTTCAAGTAGAATCATTGGTCTTCTTGCAGAGTCTATCCCTCACATAATCTGGCGTTGTGTCCTCGAGAAAAACACTACTATGAGGTGGAAGAAGTTCACAAAGCGCACTGGTATAACGGCCTGAGCACTCTGGTCTGTTCATCCTATGTCAGATTGGGGTGGTACCCTATACCCGAGCGGTATTGTTGCCGCACCCGATTGCGCACTCTGAAGGTAGACATTTGAATTCCAAGTGGGAGGATAGGGTAAAGCTGCGAGGACCTAGCCTTTTGCCGGGGGAATCCGGGTAAAATTGTTGCCGACCCGTCAGACTTTACCCAATCACTCGAAGCGGTCTCTTCTTTGCCACTCGTTTAGCCCCTCTCTTGCTGTGGGTTAGTCAATTAAGGCGACGAAAAATTCCAAGTATTGCAGTCCAGCGTACTAAGTTGGTTCAGAAATTTTCGGAAATATGCGTGAATAACGTGAACGCTCCACCAACGTGAACGCTTGTCACTACATTGAAAGGATCATATGGAAAATGAGGGAACAGCCTACCTCACTTCACGGGAAGTCTTGAAAGAAGATCTACCTGGAGCCTTCGACCCTTGTGTTTCCAAATTCACGAAGGGTGGTATTTCAGTAAAAATAACCACAGCTGGAGGTGCTCGATGACAATGAGTATACGCTAGGGACCAGGGCGAAGTGTAAGAGCTTACGTAACCTGCCCACGACTATGGAAATGACAAAGAGTGAACAAGCGAGATACGATATGGCTATCCTCGACTATCTATCCTAATCCCTACATTCTCCTCTGCAATCACTTATTCTTATTTCTTCAACCCTATTTGGGGACGTTCCAACGAAAGTTGGTAACAATGCGGATAATTTGGATTAGTTCCCAATTTGCTGAATATTGGATTCTATCAAATTTTGAATTTCGAATATAAGAGAGTCTAACGCTTGATGCAATATAAAGACCCAACTGTAGAATCAATTTCCCAGACAATAGTGCAGATCAGGCCTATGGATCCAGCCGGAGCTATAGAGTGTATCTTCGAATATTAATGATGGTACCAACCTGCCACCGCAATGGTGACTGTTTGACTGGCAAACTTTAGCAATTCGTTAAGGTTGTCAATAAACTCCTGGTAGCTGGAAACGAATCTCTCCTGAACTGGATGAAGTAGAGGCTGATCGAAGCTGGCGTATTCGTAGAATGTCTGAAATTGAGAGACATTTTGCTGAAAAATGCAGAGGCCAGCGGAACAATAACGAAATGTTTTACCTGGATGAGGGTCATGCGTATGCCGGCATCTTGTGCAGCTCTCAGAACAGCCGTATCCAGATCGAATCTGCTTGTACCATGATGTACGTAATGAAACTCTCCAACAGTGGTAATTCCTGCTTCGAGCATCTCGCGAAACGTACGGTAACAGTACTAAACTGGTTCTAAGCTGAGCTACCGTGATCTAACACTGGTGACAAAGGTTTCAGTTTCCCATGGATACTGAGATCTAGGGATTCGTTCTTTACAAATGTTAAAATCAAAACTACTGAATGAGTTTCGCAGAAAGGTTATGAGCGTATTTAGCTTTCTTGGAGTTGGATTAATTCAAAGTATGCAATGAACATTCGATTGCGAACTTAGTTGCATTGTATTGTCAGCCTTTTACATAGGAACTAGAAGGGATACACCTCATTTTTCTATGTGAGAGACTTGCATAGGTGTATTAAAAAGAAAAGTCATATATACGCAGGAAATGTACCGCATCGAGAGAGAGAACTACTTAAGAAAAGTTTCGCATGGCATTCTGAGACTGACCGCATAGTAACACCCTTTTGCCTAGGGATGAGCTTTTCTAATTCATATTCATGGATTCACTTCACAAGCTCCATAGTGGCTCTAATGAGCTTTGATGTGTTTTGTGTTGCAAGTGATGATAGACTGGTTGCGCAGAGCTGTTGTAGGGTCTAACGAGGTCACTGACTGCTGAAGGTTTGTAAATAGAGATGGAACCCAAAACATCTGATTTAAAGTAATTTATCTAGTGCGTGTTTCACTGTTGAAAATGATAGCGAGTCTATGATCTCTTCACGGTAACTCTATAATATACATAGGGTCCCCATGAAGAATACTTCCATTTTAAATGCTATCTCAGTAAGGCCTCTTTGGGAATAAATACCAGAAATTGCGTTGAGAACATGTATCGTGAAGGGAGCACTTGGCGATAAAATCGTAGCTTTGCCTGGAAGCAAACTCCCATTATCCGCTTGGAAAGCCAGAAGAACTGACTATCAAAAGTGGCGCTTACCGCTGACTAGCCAACTGCGCATTTTAAATTGACACCATCTTCATAGAGACTTCGAATCAACGGTTTCAAACAACAATCCATAACTTCAAGATCACATCTAGCATTTTAGTTTCTATATCGGGAATAGCCAGGTCTCCTTTGCAAGTTGACGGGACCTTGATGATACCTATTCCTAGCTAAACCCTCCCGTGCACCTCATATACAGGGCCGCTTCGAATCTATAACTATCAATACTTTTCGCTGTATTGTGCTGAGTGGAAAGATCATAGCGAAACAGTATAAACCTCGTAAAGCTTCTCTGTTGTAATACCATCCACCAACGCATACATGTTGTCCCGCCATTTCCAGAAAGTATCGGCTGATTTGCCTCCAATTCCACTTTTCCCTCTAAGATGACGGTGAAACGCGTGGGAATGGGCGTTTACGAAACCTGGCAAGAAGACCTGTAAAAATCAGAAATGGAGTGTGAGTTCGTCACAGCCAATGTTTATTTGACCTGAAGGCACAATTTGCGATAATTTTGAGCTATCTAGTAGTTTCGGACGAGTAACGGGACGGTAGTTCAGAACACTCATATTACGCCCGTGGCTGTTTCTCGACCGGACAGCGTCCCTCAGGCTATTTGAGACGATCACAAGTCCATCCCAGAGAAGAATCTCAGAAACCCTTTCTAACGTGAACTGTGCCTTTGATATTTGAATCTTAACCGCAGATTCTCATCACTGAGTATTCTCCTCACTGAAGGATCTCTCTTTTAACGAGGTTTTGTGACGCGATCTCAGGCGGCGGATAGGGGAATAAGTCCTACCAAAGGTCACTGGTCCTTGCCACTATCAAAAGGACGGTAGGTGATACATGTGATACAGGAAATCTTTTAGCAACCTACGAGCGAAGCATCTAAATGTCAGAGAATATCAGATTATCCACATCATGATGCCAGTCTGAAGTCCAAATTAGTACAATTGTCTTGTAAGACACATTTCGAATTCAATCAAAGGAACGAGCATTATGCTCTTAAAGACCATCTCCCAGTTTGCTCGTTCAAAATGTCAAAACATTGCTCTTACGTCGAGCAGTAACAGTTTTCTCTCAGGCTCTGATTCCTCAGAGAATTCGATGTCTGAAAGACTTCTTATTGTTATTCGTTGGGAACAAATGCTTCCCAACGGTACCACATTTCCTCATTCTACATATTAATGTTCCCTCCCAGAGCCGCACCCAAGGCGTTCCAACCTGGAGACATCCTATGTAAGCCAATGATAAAGCTGCTTTAGCAGAGCGCTTCGTTGATAGTATTTAGAACAAACGGAGTCTCATCACAGAAGTCATACATTGTAATGAGGATAATTCAGAAGCTACAGAACCCTACAGAACACTTCACTGTTACGATTGAGCCCTCTCGCGTACAGTGAAATTACTGACTTCATGAGAAAACAAAACTTGATCTGTCTAGGCAGATCCTGATTTATTTGTGGGTTTTGTTGGAAAATGAACGTATGGGTGATGATGTGATTCTAAAAATCAAAGAGGAGAGGGGTGAGAGACAACTCTCCACCACGCAACTTTGGGAAGAGCTTTGTTCATACTGCGCTAGCTTAATGCTTCTACCAACATTCGTGCTAATCCTCTCTCACTGTTATCTTACATAGCTCGGGAGTTCCGATTGTAGTGAACCAACTATGAAAATTCAAAGTTTGAAGAACACAACGAGAAGGAAAGCGTACGCATAAACTGCGGTGAGGTTCGCGGAACTAGAAGAGAAATAGGTGCACGATAGCTGACGGCAATGTCAAAATCTAGATTACTTTTAAAGACAGCAAGCGAGCATGAAAGGTGAAAGGATAAAAGACAAAGTTTTGGCATTAATCAATCCCGTCTTTGAGGCAGATATCAGTCCAGGATTCGATCCGCGGATCATTTGTGTGTGCGTAATAGAGTTGGTTCTACACCATCGCTACATCCCTCGTATGAATGGTCAAGAGGCAATTAAAGTTAGGAGGCGATACGCATGCTCTACTAACACAGCTCTACGAGTGATGTGTGACGTTGCCCCTAATCCGTCCACACCACCAGAGGCTTCATTTTTTGAGTGGCTTTTTTTTCGGAAGGATCTGTATTGTAAATGAAAAAACGAATGTTTATATTCTGCTTCAGTGGCCCCTCCAATATGATTAGAGAACTGGTCACAAACTTGAATACGGCAACGATTATAAATGCCTCTTTGGACCTAGGTAATATAGACTCGATCTGGTATCATAAGCTTCTTACTTTTAGTAATCGTTCCTCATTCGAAAAGTGAGAGCTAACTGAATCGTGTTTCTTTAGGTTGCTGAGTTTGACGAGTTTTTGGTAATTCAAGCAAGTGCTGACGACATTAGCACGTTTATCTAGATTAAGTCATGAACTTGATTCCCAGAAGAAACGTGGGCGCCATTGCGAAATAGAAAGTTTTAGACCTAATTTGTTGAGTTTAGCCTGGAACCGAGTAAAAACTTCTCAGTTCTTTCTTTTTCCTCTAGGTTATTACAGGCTAACAAATTGTGAAGGTTTTCAGCTTGAAAGCTCACTTGTCAACAATCCCTTCTTTGAGATGCGCCAATTGCATAGCAATCCCAAGGGCGGCAGAAAACCTCCCACTTAATAAATACATCTTAGAAATTTCGAATTTCAATTCATTGTTCCCGTTGTTTTTCTGACACAAACGCATTACTTCTATAGTGCAAAGAGTAAGATTGATAAAGCTCTGGAGGAAAGTGCAAGGTTTTTTATGGTTTTTTGTCCCAGAAACATTTATTGCTGAATGATGAATTTTCGAAAACTACCGTTATGCAAAAGTAGAAATTCACAAATGGAAAAAATTCAAAAATATAAACAGATGAATGGTCCAATCCCGAACTCGTCTTTTCTGGGCACAAGTCTAAGACCTCATAATAACAGGAATCTGGAGAGGAAACCAAACAAGTAGTGTAAGTGCCGCAGATCATCTGTATCAAATCTTCGCCCGGTCAGCAACATTGAACCTCAACTGCTTCAGAATGAGCAGGCA